ACCTCTGAGAGGCCAATTAATTAAGAGAAAAAAAACTTTTTTTTTTTTTTTCTCTTAATTAATTGGCCTCTCAGAGGTGGTAAGACAACTCCCCCCTGTTTATGCTCTCTGTATGTGTGTATATATATCTCCTCAATATATGTTCCATTCTATATGCATCCGAAGAAGTGGGCTGTAGTCCACGAAAGCTTATGCTCTAATAAATTTGTTAGTCTCTAAGGTGCCACAAGTCCTCCTGTTCTTCTTTTTGCGGATACAGACTAACACGGCTGCTACTCTGAAACCTAAATTTTACAGATGATTTTGTATCAAAATTCAAAACAGAGCAGTTAATTTTAATATTAATCAGTTACCATGTCATATGGCTCAAGTACCAAAGAAGTGCCATTATCAGATGAACATAGGATTGCAAGTGGCCTTCTGAGTCACTGAATCCAGTCCTCTGCAATTGCAAGCAACCCTGTCATATAATCCTATTTACAAACGTATCAAGCTCCCTCTTAAAACTACTTGGATATCAGGAAAAACTATTTCACTAGGAGGGTGGTGAAACACTGGAATGCGTTACCTAGGGAGGTGGTGGAGTCTCCTTCCTTGGAGGTTTTTAAGGCCCGGCTTGACAAAGCCCTGGCTGGGATGATTTAGCTGGGAATTGGTCCTGCTTTGAGCAGGGGGTTGGACTAGATGACCTCTTGAGGTCCCTTCCAACTCTGATATTCTATGATTCTATGATTCTACTTAGGGGAGGGATAGCTCAGTGGTTTGAGCATTGGCCTGCTAAACCCAGGGTTGGGAGTTCAATCCTTGAGGGGGCCACTTAGGGATCTGGGGCAAAATCAGTACTTGGTCCTGCTAGTGAAGGCAGGGGGCTGCACTAGGTCCCTTCCAGTTCTAGGAGATAGGATGTCTCTGTTAATTAATTAATACTTCGGTTATTTCGCCCCCCCCCCCACTACTATTGGGGCATGTCCCAGAACCTCACTCCTCTGATAGAAACCTTTTTCTCATTATCCAGTCATAATGCTGTACTTCATGGTACTTCAGTGTCTATATTGAGTAAAGAAAAAATTTTCATGAATAAAAATAAACTCAAGTGACTGAGACAGGGAAGACCTTGCCAGCCGATGGTGCACTAGAACAGCGTTTCTGAAACTGGGGGTACTCCAGGGGGTCTGTGGGCCCCTCTGATCAACTCCTCCCTCTCCCTCCCACTGCCTCCTTTATGACCGTCCGTGCCGCTTCCGGAAGCGGTCAGCACGTCCCTGTGGCCAGGGGCAGAGGGTCTCCGCATGCTGCCCCTGGCCTGACTGCCAACTCCGCAGCCCCCATTGGCCATGAACTGCGGTCAGTGGGAACTGCGGGTGCAGTGCCTGCAGGCAGGAGCAGCGTGTGGAGACCCCCTACCTAGGAGTTGCTGCCAGAGATGTGCCAGTCGCTTTTGGGAGCCGCAAGAGGTAAGCACCGCCCCCCTCACTCCATCCCACAACCCTACCCACAGCCTGCACCCAAACTCCCTCCCAGAGCCAACACCCCTCACTCCCTCCCACACCCCACACCCTGCCCCAGTCCTGAGCCCCCTCCAGTACCCAAACTCCCTCCCACACCCAAACTGCCCAGAACCCGCACCTCCTCCCGCACCCAAACTGCCAGCCCAGAGCCAGTAACTCTCACTCCCTCCTGCACCCAAACTCCCTCCCAGAGCTCATACCCCCTCCAGCCCTTCAACCTTCTGCCCCAACTTGGTGAAGGTGGGGGAGAGTGAGATACAGAGGGAGGGGGGATGGAGTGAGTGGGGGCATAGCCTCGGGAAGGGGGCAGGGCAGGGACTGAGCTGGGGAGCTTAGGGATCCCTGAAAAATTCTAAATCAAAATGGGGGTCCTCAGGTTGCTAAAGTTTGAGAACTGCTGCACTAGAAGAATGTCTATTCCAATAGCTTTCAACCTACAAGGAAGGGACATAACATGCAGCACTGCTGTCAGAGATATGAAACTGGAAGAGAGATCATCACAGTGCTGAGTAATACTTGGTTTGTACAGCTCATCTGGTGACACACAAAGCAGATCACTGTTAGTTTTAATCATTTACTATTGCATTTTACAAAATAGAGTAAAGGTCTTAATTCAGCATGCTCTACTCAAGCAGAACTTTGATTAACGTCAATTGAAATTTCATTCGGGTAACAAGCATGAAAGAAGGGCTCTGTTCAGCCCCAAGATATGTTGACTAGACCAAAGAAATAGGGGCAGAGAGAAGTTATGTTAGTTTATATTTTACAGCACTAGGTGGTGTTTCTACACTATATATTACCTATTTATTGTACTGACAGGGATGGCGGGGGGGACTGCAAAAGTTAAGGGATCAGTATCTCCTCGATGGGTATGAATCACTTCAAGTGGGGTATGCTGACACACTGTCTTCCTGATTCAGAGACAGTGGCTATCTCCATGTAAAATCCTAGGGGAAACAAGGCACGTGTCTATATTGAGGTAACTAACTGAGGTAAACCAGAGGTGTGGGGAGGGTAGAGAAAAGGGGGGGGGGGTTAATAAGGTTGTCCTCAACACTAGCGACACTGAGAAAAAGCTACCTGTGCTTTGTCTCTACTAGGATTTATACCTGCTACTGTATCTTCCACTCCATGAATCTGATGAAGTGGGTTATAGCCCATGAAAGCTTACGCCCAAATAAATGTTAGACTCTAAGATGCCTCAAGGACTCCTTGTGGTTTTTGCGGATAGAGACTAACATGGCTACCACTCTGAAATCTACTAGGATTGTACACTGAGATAGTGTTTTCACATTGAGATAGCTTTCATAGAATCTAAGGCCATAAATGACATTTAGTTTGACCTCCTATATAGCATAGGCTATTAAATTCCACCCTGTTGCTGCAGTCTTGAGACCATTAACTTGTGTTTGGCTAATGCAGATCTTCCAAAAAGGGATCCACAATCTTGATCTGCAGACATCAAGCGAGGGAGAATTCACCATTTCCATTGGTGTTTGTTCCAATAATTATTCTAAATTTGTGTCTTAATATTTATTTTAATTAGTCAGGTGTCAGTTTCCAGCCTCTCTCTGCTAGATTAGAGTCCTCTAGTACCCGGTATTTTCTCCCCATTAAGGTACTTATACACTAATAAAGTCACCTTTCTATCTTCTTATTGTTAAATTAAAGAGCCTGAGCATTTTATGTCTCTCATTGTAAGGCATTTTCTCCAGACCTCAAAGCTTTGTTACTGGCTTTTTTCTGCACCCTCTCCAATTTTTCAACATCCTTGTTAAAATGTGGACACCAGACCTGGATGCAGTATTCCAGTATTGGTCTCACCAGTGCTGTATACAGAAATAAAATGACTCCCTTACTCCTATTCACTATTCCCAACATCACACTGAGATCTCACATTCAGTTGCTTGTCCACTATATAGTCCCTACTTCCTTTTCAGGAAAATTGCTTTCCAGGATATAGGTCCGCATTCTATAGGGTTGACCTGTAGTCTCTGATCCTAGATGTATACCTTTGCATTTGGCTGCATTAAAACATGTTTTGTTTGAATGGGCCCAGCTTACCAAGTGATCCAGACGGCTCTGTCTGACAGGCCTGTCCTTAGAATTATTTACTACTTTGCCAATTTTTGTCAACTGAAAATTTTATCAGTATTGATTTTATATTTACTTCCAGATCAATACTGAAAGTATTGAATGGCATTGGGCCTAGCACTGATCCCTGAGAACCCCACTTCTTTTAGCAGTGAAGACGTAGCTAACATGAGTGCAATGGGTCTTTTGGAGGGTTAATGGTGCTCTCTCTCTCTCACACAGCACAGGACAGCAGCATCAGGACTCCTCCCAAGTTACACTGATCCAGTTATACTGCTAAAACCCAACGGGGGACACACTTACAGAAACACCTTTTTGGGGTTAACTTATGAAATTTAAGCTAAACTGAAAAAAAGCCAGAATGAGACTGTCCAAACAGGGGGAGGGGTTATAACAGGATAACTGTTTATATCAGTTTAAATTCACACCTCAACTTACACTGCTATAGCTTGCCAATGTAAGCAATTTAGATCATTTGTTTTTAAAACAGATTTAGGGCTTGTCCACACTGGTACTTTACAGCGCTGCAACTTTCTTGCTCAGGGGTGTGAAAAAACACCCCCCTGAGCACTGCAAGTTTCAGTGCTGTAAAGTGCCAGTGTAGACAGTGCACCAGCGCTGGTAGCTATTCCCAAGGGCTCCCAGCGCTGGTAGCTATTCCCCTCATGGAGGTGGTTTTGTGCTGCGATTACACAGCCACCTTAAAGCACTTCCGCGGCAGCACTTTAACATTGCTAGTGAAGACGTGCCCTTAGTGATGTAGTTAAACTGGTGCAAACCTCTGCTTGGACACTTTAAACTTGGTTTAGTTTAAACCTGTTCCTATTCAGCTTAACCTAAACTATATAACTACAGCAAAGAACTTAGTAGAACTGTCCCATCTGGTCAAGGCCTTAGAATGGGGCAGCTCTGTACAGGCCAGGCCTCAATCACAGCACATTACACATCCACCTTGTACTAAAACAGAACCAGCCCCTCCTCATATACCCCCCCCGCCCTCTTCTCCCCTCCTCCACCAGCCCCAGCCCCCCCCTCCTCCTCCTCCTCCATCAGCCCCAGCCCCCCCCTCTTCCCTCCTCCACCAGCCCCCCATTCTCCTCCTCCACTAGCCCCCTTCTCTTCTCCTCTCCTCCTCCTCCAGCCCCCCGTCTTCTCCCCTCCTCCTCCACCAGCCCCACTCTTCTCCCCCCTCCGCCAGCCCCCCATTTACAAACCTCCCCTCCCTCCAACTCCCCCTTCACAAACCTCCTCACCCCCGCCCCTCCCCACGAGGAAAAGCCAGTTACCCTCTCGGTGCCCTCATCAGACGCCGGTGCGTGGCTCGCAGGGCACGCTGGGAGCTGTAGTCTCGCAGGCCGGCCCCGGAGGGACGAGGAGAGGTCACGGGCTGTCATTGGCTCTCGCCTCCTCTCTCCTCCCCGCATTCCTTTCCCAGCGTTGATTCGTCTTGGGAACAGAGGGGCGGGACTTCCGGGGCGAGGCTTCGCCGGCTACAAAACTCCCCGGATGCGCTGCAGCAGAGACCGGCTCGGAAAGAACTTTCTAGAAAAGTCAGGAGCGGCTCGAGTAGCCGAGACAGACACCCGGAGCCCGCCTAGCCCCCGCCCGCCTGGTGAGTGGCCACCGCCGCCCTGTTCCCCTTCCGCGGCTCCCGGCCCGTCCCTCCAGTCCCCCGCCCCGGGCCGGGCCCGGCCCGGCCCTCCAGTCCGCCGCCCCGGCCCTCCAGTCCCC